TAGAAACGGAGAAAAATAAAAATTGATGTTGTATTTAATTCATTGAGAAATACTGAACTCGCCGTATGCTAATGCGTGTGTAACAATTTCTTCGTTGAGTTAGTTTAATCACGAATTTGACCATTACCGTGAAAAATATCAATGTACATCCATCGTTGTGATCGTCGTTGTCGTGATGTTGCGCACTTTTGTGCGTAACAAATATTAATTATGATATTGCTAAACCAGTTTTGCTGCACATAGTCTTTCTCGCTCCATCTCTTTCCTTCCACTGCCACATGCTAGTGCAATTTCACGCTTGCGATCGTTAACTCTTTATTTTTCATTCTGTGTGTGTTTTTTTTTACTTTTTCGTTTCGTTCGTTTCATATCTTCTAACGACTTTTTTGCATGAGAAGAGTTTAATGCCTTTCTGCATTTCAAACCGTAAGTGGGTCTTACGTAGAGACAGTTACACAGTTGTGTGTATGCTTCCAACTTCCATGCTGATCCAATGAATATCTTACTTACGTGGTAAAATGCATTTTACTTCAAGTTTTCAAATAAATGCGATTGCGTTTGTTTTGTTGCCATAATTTCCTTTTTGTTCGCCTTTAATCGGTGATTTATGTTCGCATCGATGTGAGCACGCGTTGCAGTGCACTATCTTCCAGTTGCATCGTGCATATGCCTCTGAAGTTTAGAGATGAAACAGACGAAAGTTTAACTCAATTTTGCACCGCATTAACGACGACGTAGTTTAACGAAACAATTGCTTTGTCTACATGCACCATTCTCGATTCACCTGTTCACAGGGCCAACCATTTTACGAATTCACCGGGTTTCCGATAAATGCAATTTACTGCACTTGTTCTTTTTACATGTTTCAATTCAATGTTATGAATATAAATTCGTTGCCATGTTACGAACCATCAAGTGCATATGGAAAACAATACACAAATGAAATGCTGCCCAAACAAACACCGGACGACAACATATGAACAATTGAAGTCATGCGTAGATCCTAATTTTCGGGGAACTCGAATGTACTGTTCCACTGTGTTTATTTGCATTCCCCATAGAATTTAAATGTGGTAATACGTGTTCTATTCACTCAACCATACGACCGAAAAAAAGCGTCAGACAAACAATCAAATTGATTTGCTTTTAGATATATTCCATACGTGAAATTCCAACGTCATGCAACAAAATTGATGGGCTAGAAAAACAAATTCTTTTGATGTTGCTGTTTCGTGCACTTTTTTTCGGATGCCAATTTTCAAAACTGTTTGTTTGTTTATTGATACAAAATTTTGTTTATATGTGAATATTTTTATCGCAGATATGTGCATAAAATATAACGTTTGTTTGCATATTTCGAAAAAATTTATAAATGTGTCAACAGTCAACACACTTTGTTGTGGAACATTGGAGTTCATAACGCACAATGTTTAGTGCTTGTATCATTCGCTTATATACACGTATATGGAGAAATGGAATGTTTTTGAATAAAACGGCACGTTAAAGTTGATTGTATTCAGTTACACATATTGAATGTTCGTTTGATATGAATGCGTTTTTTTTTACTGCCATAACTTAAGATAAACAAGTTGTATTAAATGGATATATTTGAAATGATGGTGTCCAATTACTGGATCGTATCCGAATGTCATATCTGATCAAAGTCGGAGGGAGACCGAGACAGTGAATAAAATTGCCAACAAATGTATGAGCCACAATTTTATCTTTATCAATGTTCAATGTGACATTTCTTGTATCCATATTTATTTTGATGTCGCTTTGGCAGCCAGCACAAACAACCGAATTGAGCAGTTCATCCTTTGACTTGATGTGAGAAAACATGGAGGAAACCTGCAGTAGTCAACCAAACTATGCCCCAAGTTGCGAAAGTCACACATGCTAAAGAAGAAGAAGAAAGAGAAAGAGAAACGGATTTTGTAAGCGATTGCTATTATCGAAAAAGGATTTTTACATAGATACAAATCATGAGATGTCACAACCTTTTTCGGAAAGACAGCATTTTCCAGAATGGTGAAACGACTGTCACTTTTCAACTCATAAAATTGAAACTGAATCAATTTGATGTTTGTCCGCCACAAGAGCACGATAGAGAGAGAGAGAGAGAGAGAGAGAAACATTGTTGATTTATTTTAATAAACCGCATTACAATATAGCTTTGGCTTAAGTGGCTTTCGTCATCCGCAACAGCAACATCGTAAATTTTGCGCAAACCCATCAAACAAGATTAATGGAAACGGTGGCATGGAATGTTTCGTACCATTGAAATTGCATAAATGAAATCTCATGGTGGTTGGTCAGTTGGTTGAGGTTGGGGTTGGTTTGCTCTTAAAGTCGAATGTTTTATGATATTTCGGTTTACAATCTGTGTGAGTGTGCACGTGCTCTTGCCATTTTCTTTTCCACTTCTGTTTTTGGTGTGTGCGTCTAGGAACTGGCAAACCATTTCAACTGTCATGAAATTATTTAAGTTGTGTTGGATACATTCAACAATAAAATTATAATTCAAAAGGAAATTGACCATCAAGCATTCGGCAAATGTATTACGCTACTGTCAGCCGAAAAGAGAGAAAAAGAAACAAGGATTCGGCTTCGTACAGAGAAAATGTTTCCCAGCTAGAAAAAAAAAGAAGTTGATAAGCATATCACAATGAATATGCAAAAATACGATTTCTATCAAGTTTTCTTCGGAAAGTTTTCAGTAAACAAAATATGTGGCCGCTTTTTTGTGTTACGTTTTAGAGGCCGAAACTGTATCTGAATTCAGTACACGATGCGAGGATATTGGATTATATGATTATTATTAAAGAGTTGAATCATACGGATTCTACAGAACATTCCATCGTTTTTCTCTCTTACTTGCCGATGATCCAACCAGATAAGAGAGGTTAGTTCATAAATTTCATTTAAAATACGAATCAATCGTTTTCGAGAGCATGCAGAAGAACGAGGCTGAGAGGGTTTAAGTACGCAAAAGTGGAAGAAATCAGAATCAAAACGAATATCGTCCGCATTTTCTCTACACTTTATGTGATGTGCTCTCTCTCCCTCACTCGTTCTCTGTATGTAAGCTCTGATGCGTAAAGAATGCGAAAATAGCTATTGCAAATTGATACGATTTGAAAAGAGTATCAAAACGCACATGAGCACCGATACAAACACATATGTATCACACACAACAAAACAATCGAATTAGAGCAGCGAAATAAGAAAAAAATTTAGTACCTAAACGTTTATAGAGAAAAAAATCGTATGACGATGCTATGTGTGTAGCAAAAATAAAGGCACGACTACAATAGCATTCTGGTGAGCATACCGCACGTCTTTGCTCTCTCATTTTCTCTCTGGCTCTGACTTTCTTTCTCTGTTTCATTTTATGTAATACACAATGCATGCGAATGAATGTGTAATGCAAACGGTTTACATCGCAATCAAAACCGTACAACATGAAGTTGCAGAAGATATCAAGATTTTAATGCGATAAAACACATCTAATTCACGTAAACATGGGATTTTACATAGTTGGCAATTGTAACTGCAACCACCACACCAACTAACGCCAGTTTTAAATAGAAGATGGAGAGAGAGAGAACAACCGTTGTGTGGATTTGTGATGGAGATTTTCTTGTTCCATTGTAGTTGCTTCTCTGTTTTTCTTTCCGTATTTCTCGCAATGTTTCTTTTCCTCCGCTCTGCACATCGTTTGTTACACTCATTCAGAGCTCGTTAAATACACCATCGGATTAAATATATTTAATATGATGTTATATTTCAATCATAAGACGATGTTTACCGATATGTTCTACTAATATTGCATCCCATTATTCGTATCGAAAAGGGAACAAATTGGTTGGCTATGCTCTCATATGTGGTCGCATTTCTCCTATCATCATCACTATTACTGTTGCTATCGTTGTTGTTGTTGCTTTTTTCGCTCGCCAATGAGCGCGCTCAATCTCAAAACACATTTGCGCCATTGTCTTTTATCGACAATCAGCAATGCTTGCCAAACACAAACGTAGCAGATAATTTTTCGAATAAACGACAACCATAATATGGCTTCAATGAAATGTTGTTCACTTGCACATGAACGCATGAACATTTTCTCCAACTTTTATCTTAATCACAAACTGTTTTGTTTACGCACAACAAATTCCATTGTTTAAATTGCAATTGTGATATACATGTATTGAAATTACAGTGCGGCGCACTTAAAACAAAATGAACTATTACAATATAAATGTTTGCATCAAATAACTGAACAAATTAATACAAAACATTCCATTGCAATTGATTTATATACATGGATTCACATTCAAATTGACGCTCTTTTCATTTGTTTATTCTTTTTTTTCTCTCAAATAAATCAATGTATATATTGGGTTTGTAGTAGCATGAAATTAGATTCTGGGTTGGACGAACTTTTGTATTAAGTATTTCATGGTATGCACCTGTGTGTGTAATCTTCGAATCAACCTAAATCCCATTTAGAAAATTGCATTGGCCAGTTCGTGTTGTGTGTGTGTGTTCGGTGCATTTTTTCCGTTATTACCAATTCCCCTTTTCCAATGATTTTAAAAACCGTATGAGGAGAAGAGAGCATTCGCGTCGATTTTACTCATGCATTCAGTTTTTCCATGTTTTTATGTTGTTCTATCCATGTGGAGTCAGTGAGTATGAATGGTATTTGTACTGCTGCCATACACATGGCACATCCACTGATTCTCTTCTACACTGTCGATTCACTTGCTTCATTCTCTCCGTCCGAATCGTCATGCGAAGCAATGTTCGACATGCGCTCCGCCATCCAACAGAGCATACACACCGCACGATGGATCGAGTGAAATGGAAAATAGACTAAACAATAACAAAAAGGCACGCACACTGTGTACTCGGTGTATTCGTTGCTTCGGAAAGTTGTTAAGTGAATTGTGTTTGGCTGCTGCTGTTGCCGCTGCTACACTGCGATGGTATGTTAAACCAGTTGCCGACATGACTGCGACAAAACCGGTCGTTCTTTTTACGCACTGTTTTTTAATATTCGCGCGCGATTCACAGTGAAACGATACCGAATTCCAAACAACACGCCGCTATTCATGTTGCATAGCAAATTGTTTTTTTTTTTTTTTCGTTTATTCTGCCCGATAAATTCATTGACAGCAAATAAATTGCAATTTCAAGTGTCCGTTTAAGTCATAGCAAACATTTTGAAAGATTATCATAGTGAATTGAGCATTGAATTGAATTGATAAACAATCGCTTTTTGAATGGCAAGCGTGCAAAAAAATTGACAAACTAATTTATTGATTTTTGAATGTGTAGAAACCAAACAAGTGTTAGTTGTGGTGCCAGAATATACACGATACTTTCATTGCAATCTATAAAACAGGGGATCAACCGAAATTAAAGAAAAAGAATCGAATTTATTTTGACATCTCTTCATGTAGTTTTGATATCCAAAAAGGTAAATCGAAAACGATCAAACCAGAAAAAAACCAAATTTTTATTCAAATTTCATTTGATTTTGCTATAAAACCAAAGTTGATGAGAACAAAAAAAAAACAATTTCCTATTCGATGTTAGGAATTTGATATTTGTTGGCGTGTGCGTTAAGACCGAAAATAAATGCCGAAGCTATAAAAAAGAATTCTAAGCGTCAAAAGGAAATGTTTAAGTGATTTTTAGTTTTCTTTCTTTCAACCGATATCCGTTCTCGATGTGCTGTGTGTTTCGGCTATAACCGGTTGAAAATAATACTGTGTCCAAGATCAAATCAATTTCATAAATCAGTCTTTTGCTTAATTCAGACATTTATCGCGATTCTTTTATTCAAAAGCTAGTTTTTATTATATGGAATGGTCTTTATTTGCCGTTGCTACATCTAGTTTGCAAATATTGATTTTTAAATTACTTTGTGGATTTTTTTTTGCTGTTGCTGTTGATCATTCTCTTTCTTCCTCTTCTGCTCGGTCAGTTCAAAATGAAGTAATAATGTGGCTGACAAATGCTTCAAATATGTATGTGTATTATTCAACAGAAGAAATCGAACTCTATTTTTTGGGGGAATATCCTGAATTCAAACGTAACAACCGAGAGAAACCAGAAATATCAGAAAAAATACATTCAAAACAAAAAATCCGTACAAATACAAAGCGTATGTGCAATGGATATTGGTTGTGTATATGTACATATTTTGGTATGTCCGAGCGAATTGTAGGTGTAAAGCCGATGATACATTCGTCAGTCTTGACATAAAAGTTTCACCGTCATTCAATACATACACACACATACACGTGCACGCACGTAGAGAAACACACATCGAAATGTCGATGGGAAATTTGAAGCGCTCAAACAATTACGGACATGAACACAGACACACAAAATTACCCACAGATTATGCTTTTTGACTGTGACTTGTATAGTTCTGGTCGTGTTGTTTTTTTTTTCCGTTTCTTTCGTTCTCGATTTTGTATTTTTTGTGTGTATTTTTCGGTGCTAGCCTCAATGTAGTCTGTATTGCAGACGAAAAAGAGAGACAGAGCGTGTAACATGAATGCGTCGGTAAATGTAAGTGCTCCGTTGAATTCTTGGTGTGTTTTTTTATCTGTATTTCGATTTTTTTTTTTCCCTTTACAATGATTCTATTCATTCGTTTGCCCTTTGTATACGTTTTTTTTTTTATCCATCGGCTTACTCTCCGTCAATAAAAGATAAAGATTATAAAAAGGCATACTCATACGATGAATGCTATGGAATCTCCGCCTAATATGTTCCAAATGGTATGTTATGGCTTGCGATGTAAAATGAACGGAAAAAAACGAAATTACCACAGAGCCGAGTCCATGCAACGAAGAGATGAGAAGAAGGAAAAAAAAAACACAGAAGCATTTCCAACTGAGAGAGTGAGAGATGCGATGCATGAGAAGATGTGCATAGCTGTGTGCGGTGCAGTGCAAGTATGGACAAGGTGTTATAAACGAAAATAAAAGAAGAAAACCAAAAATCTTTCTGTTTCACTCAATTGATGTTGAAGTTTTTTTTTTATTTCACCGATTCCACTTCGTTCATTTGCACTTACATTTATCGACGATTGAAAATAAGCATTGAAAATCTGAACTCTGGATGAGTTTCACAGAATTTATAGAATGTATTAAAATTCCTTTGATTTTATTCTCTCTCTTCCATCATATTTTTTTTTTATACCACAAATATGAGCTGAGAACTGCTGAGAATGGTGAAGATACAATCCCATCACAATCAGACATTTCTCTCTCGCTCAGCGCAAAGTGTTGTTTCGAAGAAAATATTTTTTTTTTTGGGAAGTTGGGCATATTTTACGGATCGCATGAGTCAAATCCATTCATCAAAAATTCCACAGTGTATTACGTTGTGCATGTCTGTCGTCTGATTAGCGTATGACATACTATTATAATAATATATCATGTCTCTGTTTGGGTTCGGTTTGGCTCGACTGCGTTAACTATCTCTAGAACTGTTTTGGTGTATCACATTTATTCGGTTTTGCTTCCGAAAAAGGAAACGAGAAAGCAAACTATTCCGAAACATTGACTGGCTTATTATTACTTACTTATTTAATATCCAATCTATCTCTCGATCCGAGGGTGAGCGTGGCAAAAACCAAAAAGTCTTTGGCATTTTTTTTAGTAGGATGTGACGGAATATGATTTCGGTGGATTTTTGGATTTTCTACAATTTTTTTAGTGGAAAGTGGATTTGAGTTGAGAAAAAAAGATGGCAAAGAGAAAGGAAGACTTGAATCATGAACGTGTTATTCTCACCCGAACGAATAAAAATGGTTCTTCCTTGTGTTTATATTTTTGTTTGCCTCTTTTATTTTTCTGTCAATATAAGTCGAGAATATTGCTAGCTACGGCGAATGAAAAAAAAAAAAAAACAACAACAACAACAACAACAACCACACACCAGCAAGAGAATGAATTTATGTATTGCAAATGCTATGATACGGATAATGCTATTGAAATGGCGTATTTCATGGCTTAGAATTGTATAATATAAATCTCACCATCATCATGATCCTGACGTTTTTTCTGAAAAGAAGCATTTAAATCGCCCAGATTGGTATGTGTATGTGTGTGCGCGTAGCATAGTCATGGCAACTATGCTAAAACAAAACACAACAAAAATAAAGCACCGAATAGATTTGTTTGCACATTATACATGTGGTGCTGGCTGCTCTGCTTCGCTTCAGCGCCGTATATATGTATTCTCTTTTTTTTTCACATGTCATTTGGATCGAGGTTTTTGGTTCAAACTGGTTCAAATGAGTGTGGCATGAGTGAGAGAAACGCCACCATGTAAAAACCTAAATGAAAACGGCACGGCGCTCACATACACGCAAACAGCAACATATTGCTGCTCATTCTCTGTTTCATTTTCGATTTGACTGAGTGTAATATTGTGCGCGACCGAAGCCTCCCGACCAACTCTCTCTTGTTTGTAATACAATGTGCAAAAGAATGCCATTGTAAAATATGGTTTTGTTGTAAGTAATTTGGAATCTTTTTAAAGAATCTATCCGCCCATTTTGATATCCACGCACATTAATAAAGTGTTATAAAATGTGTGCATGTCACCATTTTTCGTTTGGCGAACGGCGAGGATGTGAATATGTCAACGCAAGAGAACCGCTCATGTTTTTGTTAGCATTGCGTTCTTTATTCATAAACCAAATGGATGTGCAAACAAACAACAACGACGTTGACACAACGAAAAAGGCGCAGAAAGAAAGCAAAGCACGCGAGAACCTTCTCAGTTTCGATGCGAATTGTATGGAAATCCGAGCAATTTGTGAACCTTTGGAAAAATTACATTTTTATGGGCTTGAGGAGACATGATTTCTTGCTCTGTGTGCCAAACGGTCTAGTGTCACGTGGGCACAATGAGAAGATGATTCATAGTGGCTATTGCCTAAAATGCAAATGACGACGACAATGACGATGGGAGAAAGAAAGAAAAACCCCTCCGTTAAGATGTCTTCCACATTATTGGCCGAAAATATGTGAAATAACATTCATCCCAAGTTGCTTTATTAAACAGATTCGATGATTCGGTTAAAAAGTTTTCCAAAAGTGCGTCATTATTGGTGTGGGTACAGCACGCTTCAAATTCCACTCACAAAAACACGACGACGGTTCACAAAATAATAAACTTCTAACTTTGTTGATGTTGTTTTTTTTTCGTCGTTTGTTTTATTATTTTGTGTTTTTGACCGAAGCCTTTTCTACTAAAAGTACAATTTGATGGAAAAGAAATGTTTTCACAAACAATGCAGCAGACGCAGCTGGAATGTGAAGGCAAAGGCGCGTGTATGTGTGCCATAAATTTAAATTGGCGAATTCACTTTTTCAGCGAGTATGGGCGAGCGTGAGCGCTGGGCAAAATGTCGGTGGCAATGTGAGCAATAAAACAATCATTTTTCTCGCTAAATACGACGGCATTTAAATAAAATCATTCGTTTCTTCGAAACAACTGTATGTGCACGGTTTTTTTTCGTGTGAGCGTGTGTGTGTGTGTGTTGTTCGTCGTTACTTCTTGCGGGCTTTTTTTTGTATCGGTCGTTACTTTCGTCGCATTGTGTGAGTATGTGCTATTTCATCCAAATGGCACCCGCGCGCGCAAATACGCCAAATTGTAATTGCATCAAAATGCGAATCGAACGCAATGGCAAAGGGAACAAATACGACACAAAGACTTGGAACAACTGTGAAATATTACATGTTAAATTAAATTTTGCCTTGCCTCGCCTCGCCTTCGCATCAGCACTTCTCATACATATGCTATCGCTCTCCTCCTCGTGTGCATGTGTGTGTGTGTTTTTTTTTTTGGCATTTCAATCGCATACATGGTTGTTATATAAATACGAATATTTGCTGCTTTTACTATCCCATACTCCACCTTTTTTCATTTGCATACGTCACTTTTCATTCAACTCATTTTTCTACATCATTTCAAAGTTTAGCTACAATTGAATAGCTCATAATATTACACTTTCTTCGTTCGCTCCTTGGTTCTCTTTCCTTTCGTCTCGCAGTGCTGCGTACACAAAGCATGCTCAAATATTTACCGTTTGGATAACGCACTCGGTATCCCCACAAAAAAGAGATTCCACAATTTACTACTGTCAATGGATTAGACGTGACACGGTGCGGTGAACGGAAGAACAAAAACAATAAGCGAAACTACATTTGGAGTTCCTTGAGCCGTCGTGTGTATGCTCTCGAAATGAGGAAATAAACGCCAAAATAATCACAAAACGTGGTAACGTTCGAAACACATCAACATGAAATGAAATTGTGTGCAAACGCACATAATAGCGTTCTTTTGGTGATATCATTTCTTCTACAGCAATTTTCCTTTTGTAATCATGCGAAATACTCTGTCGGAGAACCTCATTTAATGCTAAATTATACGACCATTGAACCA